TCATGATCCTGGAGTCCCGGGATCGAGTCCCGCATCGGGCTCCCTGCTCGGCAGGGAGTCTGCTTCTCCCTCTGACCTTCCTCCCTCTCATGCTCTGTCTCTCATTCTCTCTCTCAAATAAATAAAATAAAATCTTTAAAAAAAAAAAAAAGTTAAATTCACTTACTATATAACCCAGTCATTCTACAACTAGAAACCCAAGAGAAATGAAAGCATATGTCCATGTAAAGACATGTACATGATTGTTCCTAACAGCTTTATTTGTAATAGCCAAAAAATGCAAAGAACCCAAATTTCCATCAGCAGGATGGACAAACTAGGGTATACAGCACTCAGCAAAAAAAAAGGAATGAAGTACTGATACATGCCACAACATGAATTGTAAAATAATTATGGTGAGTGAAAGAAGCCAAACAAAAGGAATACATGCTGTAAGATTACATTTGTATAAAATTTTTTAAATGCTAAACAAAAGTGTAGTGACAGCAAGGAAATCAGTGATTGCCTTGAGGGTTGGCAAGGAGGGAAGGATGACAAGAGGGACACAAGAAGGAAACTTTGGGAATACTGAATATGTTCATTCTCTTGATTGTGCTGGTTTCATGTGTGCATACATCAAAATTTTTCAAACTGTACACTTCAAATATATGCACTTTATTGCATATGTTATACCTTAATAAAGCTGTTTAGAAAAAAATTACAATAGCTTTTAAGAACACAACAGAGTTAAAAGTGCTTCAGGACAAACTTTATAACTTTGTTATATAGAAAACGTAATCAATTGCCTATGATTCCACTTAAAAAGCTAGAAAATGAATAGCAAACACAAAGTTAGTAGAATGAATGGAAATAAGAGCAGAAATGAAATAGGAAACATAGAAAAAATATTAAGCACAAGCCACTCCTCAATGCAACTACCCAAATACAAACTGCAAAATGCCACCATATTACTGTTACCTCCATAAAAGAAAGTGGCTGTGGTTCCAACCATTCTCTCGATGTCTTGGGCTTGTTAAGCTTGTCAGTTACCCGATCATCACTGTCTAAATTTCTCATTGTGGTCACAAAAAAACAGAGCCCCTAGAAAAACTAAAAAAGTTTAGCTTATTCAGTAATGAGAATTCACAATCCTACTTTCTCTTCTGTTTAACGATCAATCCTTGCGACCACGAACGGGGGTGGAACCGATTCTGAATTAGTAGCCACCCACACTTTCCGTAACAAGAGGGTTCACCATCGTTTCTGATGAGGTCGTCAGAACCAGCCTCTTTTAAGCAGGGGAGATTCTCTCTGGACTGACCCCAGCGTCGCCCCGGAATTCAGGCTTCCCAAGTCCTTCTGCAACACAGCCCATTCGAGACGGCGTGGCAATTACCAGCCAGGCCTCTAGGGGTCGCACTGCCGCAATTTTCTGACTCGGGAGAACGGCAACTTTCTGGCTACCGACGCCAACACAGGGAGCTTAGAAGAAAGGGAGGGCTGCTTAGAGAGGGAGGGGCTTTCACAAAAATTTGCGTATCCTCGAACCCTAGGAGGCCCAAAGCAACCCCCAACACACACACGCCAACACAGGGGGCTCCCAACACACACGCCTACACAGGGGGCTCCCAACACACACACACGTTTTCTGAGGGGGAACTTGGGCCCGCGCCCGTTACACACCTACAGCACCCACCACCCCGTCCCTTCCCTCCCATCTTGTCAACAAGATTAGCGCGTGCTCCGCCCGGCCTGGCAGGAAAGCTGCAGACCGCCACAGGTACCTCAGCTCCCTTCCCAAGACTGGCTGGGCCTTGGGCTCCCTGCAGCACGCGAGGGGCCCGGCCCCTCGGCCCACGGCCCCGCAGTGGTCGGCTGCCACCGGAGAGTGCGGCCCCGTCAGCTCGGGCCCGTCGCCTCGGAATGACAGAACGTTCCAGTCTAGTGTCTCCTTGACGCAGCCCCCAACAACCCCTACGCCGCGACAGACGACGAGTCAGAATTCTACCAGCCGACACTGCATCGGTGAGCCCCGCGCAACTTTGTTCCCGAGCCCAGTCCCGCGGAGAAGTAACCTGAGCGCCTAGGGTGCGGGCGCTGGTGGGCGGGTCGTGGTTAGCGAACCAAACCTCAGCGCTTCTCGGTGACGGGCAGATGTTTCAGCCAATAGCTAGGCAAGTCGCCTTTCCGCCCCGCCTTCCCCCGCGTCCGTTGACGGGCGGCTGCTCCGCTAGCCCTCCCTTGGCCCAGCGAAGCGCTCCTTCCCGGAGTGTCCTGTTCCTTCTGCTCCCGCCTGGGCCATCGCCCTCCCCCAAGCCCTCTGTGAGCCTTCCCAGCCAACACGACCCCCCTCCCTCGCCTCCAGTCCCTCTTCAGGGAACCGCCCCCCCCGTGGGCTAAACCACTGCGCAGGGAGTGGCCGGAAAGGGCGCCTGCCTTAAGGACGAGTGTTTGTGGAGGTTGTCCTTATGAGGACGGCCCAAGAAAACGTGGGGAAAAGCCCGCTTTAAATGCACTGAAGGTGTATTTAGTTCTCTGTATCAGTGCCCGTAGTTCGCGCTGATGCGGGGCGGGGGCGGGGAATAAGGACCAGCTGATCTCATTTACCCTTGTTTACTTAGATAAGTGGCTCTGCATCCCGCAGGTGTTTGGGTTTTGGTTTATAATCTCAGGTGATTCTGATGCGAACCATTGGTATAACTTGAAAATTGTGAGCAGTGATTTTCCAAATTCAATAACCTCCTGTGTGAACTGTGATTTTCTATAATTCTATTTTCCTCTTTGAGTATTGGTGGGTATTAGATGATGGACCACTATTTTCACTACTTCCAAAGTGCACGCGCTGAAAACTGTCCAAAGTGTTTTAGGGAGATTTGTATTCGCGGGCCTTTTTGAAGCTAGTCAGAGTGAATCGTTTCAACTGTAGTTCCCCTTTTCAGAGCTGAGGGAGCATGAGCCATTTGCAGAACTTACTGTTAGATACCCTCCTGGGAACAAAGCATGTGGACAGTGCAGCCCTCATCAAACTCCAAGAACGAAGCTTGTGTGTAGCATCACCAGGATTTAGTGTAAGGAAAAGCAAGTTTGGGCATAAGCATTTTAACAAACTTTTTCTTTAACAAACATTTTCAAACTTTTTCATAGTAAATATTTTAGGTTTCTGGGCTATATGGCCTGGGTCACAACAACACAGCTACTATGCAGTTTTAGTGGGAAAACGGGCATAGACAATACATAAAAGAATGCGTGTGACTATGTTCCAACAAATCTTTATTTATGAACACTGAAATGTGAATTTCATGCAATTTTTACATATCACAAAATATTATTCTATTGTTTTTTCCTAATGACTTAAAAATGTAAAAGCTATTCTTAGCTTGCAGGACTACAAAAACAGACAGTGGGCCAAATTTGGCCAGCCTGCCATAGTTTGCCCACTCCTACTCTATTTAACTTCTGCAGATAATGCCTGGTGATGTCCGAACACTTGTGAATGGATTCGCCAAGAACCCTTTGCAAACCAGAAGAGAAGGATTGTATTTCAAGGAAAAGGACTACAAATGTATCCGGGCAGATGACTATTCTCTTTATGCTAAGAATGTGAGTGTTCAAGATTTGAAGACAGCTAGGTAAAAAACCTTAAGAAAAGAATTTTATTAGAATTTGCTGTGTCCCTCCTGATCCCATTTGTAAAACAATCTAAGCCCATTACTACAGTGGCAATATCTGAGATAGAAGACATATATAAAAGAAAGTACAGAGAGCCTAGTTGAGAAACATTCATTCCAGAATCTATCAACTGAAATTTGCCTGAAGTATCTCTTTTAACTACTCCATACTCTACACCCTCCTCCTTTTAAAAAAGAAAAAAAAAAAAAAAAAGATAACATTCTTTTGCTTAAAACCTCTCTTGGCTCTCTGTTGCTTATAAGGAAATAAGGAGATGAAATTCACATTTACTAGATGCCCTATCTTATGGGTTAAGCACACTTCATCTGCCTTATAAAGTAAATAGCCTCATTTTACTGGACCAAGGAAACTGAGAGTTCACAAGGTTAAATAACTCTCCCTTAGTCATGCAGCAGAAAATGAAGGTTCTGGGATTCAAGCCCAAAGCTGTCCAATTCCAAAATGTATTACCTTCTCATTTTTTAAAAAGATTTTATTTATTTATTTGAGAGAGACACAGAGATAGAGAGAGCATGAGCAGGGAGGAGAAGGAGAAGCAGACTCCTGCTGGACTCCCACTGAGCAGGGAGCCTGACACAGGGCTCGATCCCAGGACTCTGGGATCATGACCTGAGCTCAAGGCAGACACTTCATGGACTGAGTCATCCAGGAGCCACCCAGGTGCCCCTATTAAATCAGTCGTTCTCAATGGGGTAGGGGTATATTACAATCAGTTGGGGAACTTTTTCAAAATACACATGCTGTTATTACAAGTCTGAAATTTTTTGAGCAAAGACAACTAAATTAGTGGAAAAGAGTGAAGAGTCCAGAACTAGGTATGAGTGTATGGGAGTAAAGAAATGGCACAAATTGTGGCTGGAGTGTAACTGCTAGTCCTGTGACTAGAACCAAAAGAAGGACATTCTGTTTTACTCTTATCCAGGAAAACACTGGTGTGGTTGTTGTGAAGACCCATCTGTATCTTCTGGTGGCAACTTACACTGAAGGCATGTATCCTAGTGTTTGTGTGGAAGCCACAGAGAAGCTGGGTAAGTTTGTCTCCCCATGCCTGTCTTTGTTCCCTATGGTAGTCAGACCTTCTGACTGCCAGTAACTGAGAGCCAGTACAAACCACCTAGGGCAGAAGAGAGGAATTTATTAAAAGGATACTGGGGTTACTTATAGATTCACTGGAACAAGGGAGTGCAACTGAGCCACAGTGAAAATGGACTCCAGGGACAGGAATACTGCTAGAATGCTTCTCTGGTCTCTGTTTCTAAGAGGGTCAGCTTTGTTCTGTCCCATTGCAAAACCTCCATTCCTGGCTGGTATCATGGCCAAGTCTCACATCCTGCCTCTTAGTTTCTTTCTTTCTTTTTTTTTTTTTTTTACTTTTTAAAGATTTTATTTATTTGACAGAGAGAGACACAGTGAGAGAGGGAACACAAGCAGGGGGAGTGGGAGAGGGAGAAGCAGGCTTCCCA